AAGAATAGCAAAATGGAAATTTTCACTGGATTACACAAAAATTTACCTTGTGGCCTGTTATCAACACGGTGTGAAGGCATGTGGGACAGCAGTGATTTTCAGCAGGCCATTAATGTATTTTTCTTGCTTGTATTAGTGCATGAGGGGTTTTTTTAATCACAGATACTATTAAAAACTGTTGCTCTTCTCCAGCTGGGACAGATAGCTGTTTCAGGCATTGATTGCTGAAAGATCATCTGCTGCCTGTGGGTAGACTAGCACAAATCAAAGTCAGCATGTGTGCATGGATAATCTTAACCCATTTGCTGTTCTGTTACAATAGGAGCATATGCTATCTTCCTCTGTTAGGCAGGCATTGAGATAAATGGGATGGCGCAGATCAGAATAGTGATTCAGACTGCTGTAGTTAGGTAGGAAAATCCTCTAGGTGGCAATCGGAAATGAATTGTTGAGTTTGGTTTTCCTACCTATTCCTTCTGTTGCAAACTTCACTTACACAGAATCACACTTTTTTCCCTGGCTGTTGAGCTCTGTGTGTGGGGCAACTCCATGGAGACATTCATCTGCAGCTTCTGTATCTACTCCCATAAAAAGCAAATTGTGGTATATTACAGAGCATAATGATGGAAATGTTATGGTGTGCTGCGGTACTGTATTTCCTTTTTTAACAAAAATCATTGGGTCACACTGGCTGTGTAAATTATTGGTGATGCATCCTGTGCATGGTTCACATAAGTGTTAAACTGCAGGAAAAAAACATATATATTCTTTCTTATGCATATTTACTCTGTCAGAGAAATCAGGCGCTCTCCTTTGATGGTATTCTTATCCAGCAGAATGAGCTGGGGATAGAACTTTATGCCCTGTTTTGTGTAAGGGAAGGGCAGTTGTGGACTCTGGCCATTTGGCAGGCTGAAGTTTGTTTCAGTCCCTAACAGTGTTGGAACTCATTGCAGTAATTACAGAAGTAGTTTACTGCTGTTCAGAGGACTAGTATAAAGCCTGTGCACTACTTAGATTCTATTTAAACCCTCAAAAGAGAGCTTATGTACCATTTCAGTTCCACATAAATTACATGTATGGCCATTGCGTGTATGGAGTTGAGTTGTATTTAGAACTATATTTCTCAAAAGGGCAACTCTTCCTTTGTTTTGAACTAGTCCTCTCTTTCCTTCCCTCCTTCACAGGTGTGTATACTATGCATAAATGTGCATTATTTTGCATAGAATACATATATATTTGCATATTATTACATAAGAACAGGGTGTGTTTTCCCTTAGCACCCACTTAGTCATTCACCACTTCCATTTCATACCTAACTATTCTATGTGCAGCTGTATTCATTCCCGAGCCTTTCTAGTCAACCGCTCAGTCCTGACCCAGTCCCCTGTTCACTCTGCTAGCTCACTCAACATGCATTCATGTGTTTATTTTACATATGCCATATACCCCCTAATTGGAGATACTTGTAGCAGCTCCGTATGTGTGTTCACTCTTCCTCTAGTCTTTTATACAACAGACAGAGGACTCTTACGTGTATGTGTGTGGGAGGTGTGGAGAAGGAGTCGAGCTAAGGAGGACCTAGCACATATACATGTGGAAAAAAGTATCTGAAGAGGACTGGAAAAGACAGGCCACACTGCACAGGAATGCTGCAGGTCAGCAGATGGTTGGCCCAGCGAGAATCTGGGGAACAGGGTTTAGTCTCACTGCTCTCTTGACGCTACAGCAGCTTCAGGGTGCAGTGCAGCTCTGCACAGGCTCTTCCTTCTCTTCCGCCCTGCCCACCCTGGGGTCGTGCAGGAGGTGGGAGGCAGTGCTGGATCTGCAGGTGCCCTGCTTCAGGGGGAGAGAAGGAACTTCAGCCTTCTGCCTTCAGCAGCGTCAGTCACTGCCTGCATCTGGCTGAATATGGAACTATGAACCCACTCCTCTCCCCCTCAGGGCTTTTCGTGCTTCTTGGCTCCCCCTGCATCCTACCCCCAGTACATTGCATGTTGAGTGCCACCCATCTCAAACAGGTTGAACTCCCAATACCATTCATTTTGTAACCCAGTTTTAACCCACCAGATACAACAGGGTGTTGATGCGTAGTTTTTAGTATATTTTAAAATTACCTGTGCATCAGTCAGATTTGATTATTTATGCCGTTGATCCCAAGGAGCTGTAATTCTGGTTTCACCCACACTGAATGCTAAATACAAAGTGCTTTGACACTCAGGAGCTCTGATTTCCCTATCAAGACATCTGTCGTCGTTGAAAGGGAAAGTAGATTTGACATAAGGCATTTATTTATTGCTTACCAGTTTCAAGGACTGTTAAATGTCTAGGCAGAGCTTTATTTAGAAGATTGGTGGCATAAACAAGATCATTTTTGTAAAAAACGAAAACTCCACAACAAAAAAAAAAAGAGTCTAAACTACAGCAAAACCATTAAATAGCCTAGTTTAGGGAAGGGGGGAAAAATAATCTGTAACAGAGTAAAGAAATCTTAGAGCACGTTTGTCAGAGACAGTAGTAACATCACTACTAAATTATTGTACAAAACATGAAAAAAACTTTCTTTACCAGAGGTTCCCCTTTCTCCTAAAGGTACTTTCTCTGATTTTGATCTAACCAGTAAAACTTAAAAACCAAGTCATTTAAAGAACTGACGCTACAGCTAGAAAGCACGCTTCACGCGCTGAAAGAATTCATATCTGAAATAAGTTAATTATTGGAATAGATTGATGTGAACCTTGGCTCAGTAGCCACAGGCAAAGTTTAGTTTTAAAAACATATTTTCTTTTGCAGAAGTGCTGAATACTCCATATATAGGAAGTGTTTCTTTTGTGATTGAGTTATACTGAATGTATGAATGGACAAAGCATGTCTGAACTGATATACTGGCATAGTTTGTAAAATACTTTCAATTAATGTGATTGGTTGTGGCAGTGAAAGAAATAATACCTGCTTTCTCTGAAATTGTATTTTAACTGTATGTAACAAAAACTGTCAAAAATATCAAAACAAGCAGTCTTGGCTTTTGCAGGTATTGCAAATACTGAGAAAAGTACCAAATTACTGGATTTTATGTATAAAGTAGTTTTTGTAAGGCACTTGCATCTTTTTCTTCTGTTGCCATTAGAATAAATTTACAGATTTTAGAAGGGCAGTTATACAGAAGTTCTGTAAAATTCAGATTTCCCATGTGTGAGCCTGCTATACTTTGTTAGCACAGCAGATTCAGTTCAGCAATATTGGAGAAAAAAAATAAAAGCCTGATACATGCATGCATGAGCATCACTTTTTGAATACTGAAGAAATTACATTTGTCATCAATAGGTATATTCCTTTGGACTTCTGACACAGTCTACTGTATACATATATGTGTGAGCTTTTAACAGTTTTCACATAAATTCAGAGTCCTGATCCTCCCCTCCTTGTGCTTCAGTTAAAATTCCTGGATCCTGCTCTGAGTGACATAGCAGGAAACCCAACGTGTAAGCTTTTAACTTGAATTGTAGTGAATTTATGGAAGAAATAGCTGCATTTTCTTTGGTCAGACTTCTCTTCCAAGATACTGAGTCATTGAATGCCCTTCTTTATATCCAGGACCCCTCAGAAAAACGCTTACTTGGGTACCGTAGCTTTTAAATGCAACTCATGTATGGGTAATAGAGATACAAAAAATAACTGACAGAAGGTAAGTTACAGATTATTTGAAATACATCTTAAAAACTATGTGATTTGGAACAGTCAGGTCAGGAACATAGTATAGAGCCACTGTTATTGAAAACCGCTTTCCAAGCATTAAAAGTGTGATGCAGTAAGAGAAAAGAGCGCTACCATCCCTTCAGGTCAGCTACACTTACATGTCTGCAGAAGGATTAGGGAGCTGGGGTCTTGGTTGACTGCCTGTTTCCAAATGTGGTTTTCAGATTTGTTCCAGTTCAGTTTCAGCTATAACTGAAGTTGTATCTGCTTGGGACATTTAACTTTAGTTTGTTCTTCTACCAGAGCTTCTTGTCATGGATCTTTACAAACATTTAGGCAATTACTGACTAATCTTCTGACCTTTTGTCTGCATCATTGTTCTTAACAGTATAATATAAAATCAGTGGTGTTATAGGAGAAAGGCAGAGAACCTTCTGGGAAAGTCTTCTACCAACAGTGGCTGAATAACCCTGCAGTGAAGTGTTCTTTGCCCAGCTTTTCCTGTTCAAGTGAGAGATTCGGGCATCAAATAACTCACTCATTCCTGACCAGCTATATAAGGAGATGCAATGAAATGGTGTTGTGGTGGGTTGACCTTGGCTGGATGCCAGTTGCCCACCAAGCTGCTCTATCACTCCCCTCATCAGCAGGACAGGGAGGGGAGAAAACAAGATGGAAAGTACTCGTGAGTCAAGATAAAGGCAGTTTAAAGCAAAGCAAAGGCTGTGTGCAGAAGCAAAGGAAATCAAAAGATTGATTCTTTACTTCCCATCAGCAGGTGATGTCCACCCACTTCCTGAGAAGTAGAGCTTCAGTACATGTAGTGGTTGCTCTCGAAGACAAATACTGTAACAAATGCCTCCCCACCTCCTTCCTCTTAGTTTTTATTGCTGAGTGGATGTCATATGGTATGGAATCTCCCTTTGGTCAGTTGGGGTCAGCTGTCCTGACTATGTCCCCTCCTAGGATCTTGCCCACCCCCAGGTGAGGGGGGAACGTTGCCTTGATGCTGTGTGAGCACTGCTGAGCAGTAGACAAACACTGGGGTGTTATCAACACCTTTCTAGCTACTGACACAAAGCTCAGCACTGAGGGCTGTTGTGGGGAGAATTAAATCTATTCCAGCCTCACCCAATACAGGTGCTTTCCGCCTCAGCTTCTAGTCTGATAATGCTGCATGTGAATTTGATGTGTAGTTACATGCTGTGGCTCCTTTTTAGAGATAGTAGGATTAGCCACTCTTTTTTTTTTTTTTTTTTCCCCCTCAACTGATAAGATCTGTAACATAGCTTTCCTTTTCACAGGTAATCGGAAAGGATGATGTAGCTGTGCCATCCCACCTGTACAAGGTGGTCCTTGCCAGACGGAGCAGAACGTCTACAGAGCCCTTGGTACTGGGGGCTTTTGTGGTGCCAAATGATCCCATAGGCTTCAGTCACCAGCTGTCTGAGTTCCAAGTAAATATTGAAGATCTGGAAAAAATGTCAGGTTTAGTTTTCTTCCCCCAGGTGGACAAAATCAAAGATGTTAAAAATATCTGTGAAGTTGATACCTGTAAACTGATGGGCTTCAAGGAGTTTACATTATACATCACTGCTCGAAAAGTGCAGAGTGCCCGTACGTTGCACCAACTGGAGAAGGCCATGTCAGAGTTAAGGGAGGCAGGAATCGAGCCTGATGAATATCTTCTAAAGCTTCACAAGAAGAAAGAAGAGCTACTGCAGGAAAAACAAGTAGCAGCTAGAGAGGCAAAAGCTGGCTGAGTACTTGTTCAAGAAGATGTTTGGGGGTTTGTATGTTGAAAGTGGAGCTGAAAGCAAATACAAAGCAAGGCCTCTATGAATTATCCTTTTTTTTGAATTGTGAAAACAATAAAGAAACATTTGGAAGCTGATGGGTTTGGAATAACATTCATTCACGTGTAACATGATGCACACACATGGTTTGCTGCAGTACTTAGATGTGGGAAATGAAAATGACCCCTTTCTGGCATGAATAGATTACTGGAACTCCAGAAAAGGCTTTGTGCTATTTTCTAAGTGAGATGTCAGACTTGGGGTTTGAATGGAATCCCTTCTAGGAATATTATAAAAATAGACGAATAGACACCTTGGGAGTATAACTGGAACATGTTTAAATGTAATTCCGCCTCCAAATGTCTTTCAGGATGATGCTGTAGAAGAAATGGTACTTTCTGGGATTAAAAAAAATTAATTTAGAAATATTTCATTTAACACTCTTTTATTAGAGACCTGTAAAACATAATCTGAATCCCTTACAGTCTTTACATAGTTGTGTTAACCAAACCAGATTGTCTCCTACCTCTCCTGACCTTGTGTGCTTTGGATGCTTCAGCATGTCAGTTGTTGTCATTTGCAACGGCCTTCTTCCATTCATACAGAATTCTGCAATTTAAAAAAAAAAAAAAAAAGCAGCAGAGTTTGCACAAGTTCCTACCAGTGTTGATTGAGTTTTCATAAATAAATGTAAGCTTAATATTTCACTTTCACCCCTAAGTTTGGATAAATGTGTTAGATATTGTTTGATTTGAGAGGTGAGCACTGCTTGCTTTTTGTTTGTAGTAGTCAGTCACTGTTTTTTTGTCCAGTGTCAGTCTTTGGTCTATAAACTTCTCAACTTCTATGTGAAAGCAGAAATTGACTAAAAATGCATTTCCAGTTCTGTTTCAGCACCAGCTGAAGTTGTTCAGATTTGCATCTGCTTGGGAGATTTAATGAAATTATTTTTCTTCATTAGTTTTGTACTTTATTTGTGTATACGTCCTGAATTTCAGACATAAGTTACTGTGACATGTATCCTCTGAGATTTTTCATCTAGAAAGAAAGTAAAAGCTGGAAAGATTTAGATTTTTTTTTTTAATGGTAAGAATCTATATAAATTTGGAGTTATGCCATAAAAACACCTTCAGTAGTTTTAGCATGAGAGCTAATAGTTTCTGAGAAGGGTCATGTAGTGCCAAGCTGAATTGGGCTGTTTTCATAAAGGATGAATCAGGAGCATTATTTGGATGTTGTGAATCATCGGCTGGATGTTCTAAAAACTGTATAGTTTCCATCATCTCAGTTCAGTTGCAGTATCCAAAAGTAGATCACTTTATAAAGCAGTTATGGTTCCCATGACACCTTTGTGTTTGCCAAGAACATATTTACAAAATCCAGACATTTAAAACCAGAGAAACGTGACTAGCTAAGGACATCATAAAAGCCTGCTGCCCACATAAATTAGAGGGTGATTGGGTGAAATCCTGACGAAACGCTCATTTCAATTTTAGCTCAGAATTTTGGTTGTTAATCCTAGCAAATGAAACAAAAACAGTAAATTGCAAAACAACAAGCCACCTCTCCTTTTGCAGAATGTGGGAGATGTCAGTGTGTGTTGCCTGGAATAACAAAGTCCCAAATACTTCATGTTCCTCTTGATGCTCTTGCGTGCGTCACTGCAGTCCAAGCGGCCTTTTGGCACTGTGATAGTGTCGTTTTGGAAAAGATACCTGGTCACTGCTCTTTGCATTGTCTTTCTCTTTTCCTCATTATTTGAATTATTTATGTTTTTTAATACAGCCTTCCACCTTCCTTTTGCTCTTGATCATTTCAGCTGAGTGGTTACAGATCTCTCCTGTAGTGTTCACACACACCTTCCACAGACAGCTGGAACAGATCTCAGTGCTACAGATACGTGTCCATCCGTAGCAAAAAACCTGTTCTGGGACAGCACTGGCTGTATGTGAGGAACTCCAGCTATCTTCCCTTTCTGACGACAGCTTGCCATTACAACAGGAGAAGAGCCGAGCGTGACTCTCCTGTGGAGGTGGGCTGCTTCCTGACTCAGTACATCCTTGGGCTTTATGCACCCCTTGAATTCTTGCAAGCCCCAGTTACTATAAATTTCATGCCTCATGGCTTACTGTAGAGACTAGACTCCATATATAATTTTCATCTCTGTTTGAGCATGGTTGGTGTTCCTCAGCTCCCCTTGGAGGATGACAGCAGGTGGTGAACAGTGAAGCCACTCCCAGTGCTGGCCTGTGCTAAAGAGTACATTCAGGTGCTTGTCTTCTGCTGGTTTCCTCATCTGAAGTAACTGGAGCCTAGCATATAGCAAAAAAACGTGCTTTCTTTACAACAGGAAGTATAAGACAAGTCATAACAAGGGAGTGAGGCTTTACACACTTGTATGAGCCACCTCTTGTAAGTAATTGCTTCCAGATCCCTCGTGAGAACTGCTCGTGTCTGTGTCCATCTGTCATTCCTATTGCACACTTAATCACTTCCCTGCATGCATCTGTAATGACGATATGAACTCTCTGATTGCAGCTAAGCAGCAGGAGTCCTGGAAATGGAGAAGTCTGTCCTTTGTTCCTCTGCTATTTTACTCTATTTGTTTTTAAAGCTAAATAACTGAATCATGAAGGAAGTTAACAACTAGGCTGCCTGCAGCCTGGTACAGTGATTTTCTGATAATTCCCTTGACTCTCTACGCTTGATGGTTACTGCTAGTCTTGCGTCAGGGTGAAAGTGATGGTAAATGGGAGGCAGGTGTCAAAGGAATGGAGGGGAGAGCTGCTGCTCGCTCAGGGGCTTCGGGCTGCAACCCACCCAGCTCTGCTCGGTGCACTTTTGGTATTTGGCCTTTTGAGGGCAGACTGTTTCCATAGTGTCAGCCTCGGTGGCCAGAAATGATGGGGGATATGAATCGAGTGTCTCTGGCCTGTAATAACTGTCTGTCTGCTTGTGATACTAAGATACCCATTTAAAATGAATTGTTGTTTTGAGCGTTATATTGACAGCAGTGCAGTATGAAGCTAACGATTTTTCCTAGATAAGGGTTTTGACATAGTGTTTGAAAGTGCCTTTAGATTGACCACCTAAGTTGTGTATCTCCTCCAAAGACAATTTTGACTCCAGCTTTTTCATGAATCTCATTCTAGGTGAGGATTTAACCCTTCACTGATGTCCTACAATGCTGTTGCTCTGCATCTGTGAACACCATTGGGAGGGATGGAATTTAAAGTTCTGCTTTTTATTTTTGTGTGGTTGGTTCATTTCAGAGCACCATTTTGTCATTTTCAGTTTGTCCTGTAGTAGTAAAGATGGGTCTCATTAGCTAGTTGTTCTAAGTGCTGCACTAACCTGTGGAGAGACAGTCCCTGTCCTGAAAAAGTAACATGTATAGTCATGATACAGTCAGCAACAAGTGGAAGGGGAGAAGCTACATACCTAGAAATTTGAGGATTTCTTTCATCAAAGGGCTTCAGAGCTGCTGCAAACACCCACCTTTGACTGTCCTTCTCATCACTGGAATTGTCTCCCTCGAGTGTCCTGTAAAAAAATGGAGGCAAGTAGGTAATAAAAAACAGGATTTGCAGAAGCTGCCCATCTAGCCAGCAGTGATTCCTGGAGATGGGCATGGGATTTCTCTGGGGATTTTCAGTTATGAATGTTTATTTGGAATTAGCTAGACAAGCTAAATTTCTGTTGTGGAAAACCGTTATATAGAGAAACCATTCAATAGGGAAGAGTGGTTGGAAAGCTGCCCAGCAGAAACGGACCTGGGGGTGTTGATCGACAGCCAGCTAAATATGAGCCATTAGTGTGCCCAGGTGGCCAAGAAGGCCAATAGCAACCTGGCTTGTACCAGACAGTGTGGCCAGCAGGGACAGGGAAGGGATCTTACCCCTGTACTCGGCACTGACAAGGCCGTACCTTGATTCCTGTGTTCAGTTTTGGGCCCCTCACTACAAGAAGGACATTGAGGTGCTTGGAGTGTGTCCGAAGAAGGGCAACGAAGCTGGTGAAGGATCTGGAGCACAGGTCTTATGAGGGGTGAGTCAGGGAACTGGTGGTGTTTAGCCTGAAGAAAAGGAGTCTCAGAGAAGACGTTATGGCTCTCTACAACTCTTCCCCCAAGTAACAAGTGATAGGATGAGAGGAAATGGCCTCAAGTTGCACCAAAGGAGGTTTAGATTGGATATTAGGAAAGAATTCTTCACCAAAAGGTGAAGTAATTGACTTACCATCCCTAAATGTATTTAAAAGACGTAGATATGGCACTTAGGGACATGATTTGGTGGTGGACTTGGCAGTGTTGGGTTTATGGTTGGACTTGATGATCTTGAAGGTCTTTTCCAACCTAAATGATTCTGTGATTCTGCCAGTACAGCACCAGGTTTAGCAAGATGTCCAAGAAGATATGCTTTCACAGCCTTCTTTGATTTGTTCAGGGAATTAAAGGCACTGATTGTTCTGGTGGAAACTTCCAGTTTGTACCGACCCTACCAAACTGGCCAGCAAGGGCTGCTCGCTGGAGAGGCAGCCACATAAGCCCCAGAGAATATGAAGGTTTCTTGCCTGCCAGACACCCTTGCTATCTGTGCTGGTGTGTGGAACAGGCTGTTGAAATACGGCAGCCTTGCTTCAGCTGGTTTTGGTGGGAGGTGTCTGCAGTGAAGAAGCTCCAGAGATAAAGTGCAGGTAAGGCCAGGCAGGTGGATAAACCAGAGCTGCTTAAAGATGGGATGGCAGAGTAACAGGGAGTGGGTTTTTTTGGTGGCAGTTTGCAGAGAAGTGGGCACCTCTGGTGCTGTAGTGCCTGGGTCTCTACGTATTTAACCCATGCCAGCCTGTGTGAAGAAGACGCCAAACCCTCCTGTGCCCATCCTGGTCCCATGTGTTTGTTGCCCATCAGTGAAGCTGTGGAGGAATTATATATAAAACCCAAAGTGCTCCTGTTAGTAACCTGTCTCAGTGGGAAAGTGAGGAGCAATTTTGCTGTTATTTTTGAATTGTCTTCTCCTGCAGTCACATGGGAAAAGCTTTTCTCACCATGCAGAAAAAAAAAAAAAAAGTAGGAAATGTTCCTTTTTCTTTTTTTTTTTTTTTTTTTTTTTTTTTTTAATTCAGGTCCATCTAATCAATTCCACCTACACAGTAGTGGTGTAGCCAGTTCTCACATGCTTCCTAATAGCCATCTGCCTGTGCAATTAATGGCTTGTCTGTTTTTGCCATATCTTGGAGGAAAAGACCGAACAAGAGCTTTGAGTATTTGCTTAAAATATCTGAAATGTCTGTGTGGATGCTCTGGGATGGATACCCAGCACTGGCTACAAACAACCCCCACTTTCCCGTGGTATAAATTATTACAAGTCAACTGGCCTTCAAACAATTCAGAACAATTATGCCCTCCAAACAGGGCAGGTTTCCCACCTGCCGTGTGAAAAATTAGCAGTTGTGACAACGTAATATTCACGAAATGCTTGCTTCCAAGAGCTGAACTCAAGGCTTTTGATGTTGGCTTGAGAGGTACAGTGGCTGGCATCCTGGCTTCCCCACTGGTGCGTTCAGTGGGTGGAGAGAGATGCAGAAAACTGGTCTGGAACAAAGTGCTTCCAGATCTGCTTAAACAGTGTGGAGGTGTTAAGCAGATCACCCAAGTAAACTTTGTGTCAACAACAAATATTTCCCAAGACAACAAATAAAGATGTGTGCAAGTTTTTCATAGAAGCACTCAGCAGCAGCTGTGCTCAGCATTATGCAGGCTGGGGCCAGGGAGGGAATGGAAGCACCCGCTGAGCTGCCGGTGCTCAACAGCCTTAAGTCGTGTCTCATCTTTGCATGGATGTGTCTGTCTGGAGGAAGACCAGCCCATCTTCCTGTCAACCTCCTTTTACTCCCATATATTAAGAAAAATATGTGTTCCTACTCCCATGGCTCTTTTGTGATCCAGCCGATGCACTCCTTTGTGCTACGGTGCCTCCAAAAGTGGGGTCACTGTGCATGAGCA